TGACTGGAAGCTGAAGCGGTTGGGGCGGTTTTACCCCTCGAAAAGATGCTTAGCGGGCAGTTTATGGATTGAGTTCTATAAACTTTCAGCTCCAGTAACAGATACTATGTTAATAGCCCACTAGCAACTTCATCACTTCCCAGCATGTTCTTTTTTAAATTATATTAGTGCATTCTGATGCAGAAACGGTTTCACTGACATAAAGTCACTTAACTAAAGTCACTTTCTTCACTCATCTAGGTAACACAGCTCGTAATGCATGCTTTTGAATCAGAACCTCTCCAGGATATTTGTCATTTTTCCCTGCTCTTCTGTAGCCCTCCTTCTTTTCATCGTCCCAACCCCTACCGCTTCCTGCCATAACCACAAATTATTTTACAGCGCATCTTCTGTTCACATTCCCTACATCGAAATTCGACATCAGCTGCGTGTGTTTATTTTCCTGAATGCCACGGAGAAGAGTGAATCGCACAGAGAGGCTAGCAAGTCAAGTGCGAAGACGAGAACGTAACACGGAATTCATACGCCAACGCCGTGCAAGTTCAGCGCCACACAGCGAAGGAAGCACAAGGAATGATGTGGAAGAACGAACGGCCTCGTCCCATCTGCTGCTGCTGGACGACGCAGTTGGAGCAGACCGGAGTCCCGAACGAGAACAAACAGGTAAATTCTAGTAATGCAGTAGCACGTTTCGTTTCTCTTTTGCCCAAAATCAAGCTCCTTATCTTTATTTAAGTCCCCGCAACAAGCCCATCAATTTTTGCCCCATTAGCAAAAATAACCTGGATGAGGTTTCGGCAATGCAAAAGGCATGCAATCCAAACTTCAAGAAAATTGCATTACTCTTATCGGGGCGTCTCACGTAGGCCAATTCCAGTGCCCAATAAACAAAACCATTTAACTTCAAATGTAATCACGAGCAAAATCCCACTTCTTCAATTTTGGAAGAAGTGGGATTTGCTCGTGATTACATCAATTTTAGAAGTTGATACGGCATTTCACATACATTTAAAGCACTAATTGTTGCAGGTAACGGTGCAGAACCGATGCAATGGGCACGTGCGGACAATCAGCCGACAAGCTAGCAGAATCTCCGCTACGCCCATAACCAGGGTGGTGAGAGGCAGCTGCGCGCGGTCGAAAGGACGCGAATTCGCCGAGCCGATAACGAGCATGTGTGAAGTGAAAGAGCCGCTAATAGGGCTGCTATGAGAATTCGAAGGCAGCATAACATGGAATATCGAAGAAGGGAAAGAGGTGGAAACAGCGCTGCAATGCAGAACCGACGGAACAGAAACCCGCATTACAGAGTGCGGGAAAGACCAATGAATAGATTCGCAATGCAGCTGCGACGAGACACGGAACCGCGATATAGGAATCAAGAAAGAATCGTAAATTCCGCGGCAATGAGAGTACGCAGAATCGTAAATTCACTATATCGGCAGAGGGAACGACGCGCAAACCACGAAGCAATGAGAACTCGCAGGGAACAGGATGGCGCGTACAATGAGAACCAACGTCTACGAAACAGAATCAGCATGCACGTTCGACGTGCGGAGGATGTGCAGGGTCGAAACGTCGAGCGCGCCGCAAACAGTGAAGCAATGAGGCGTCGTCGAGAAAGCGATCACGTGTACAGAGGACAAGAAAGAGCTGCAAATGCTCTGGCAATGGCTGCTCGTAGACGCAACATGGAAGTGAGAAATGGGGAGCGCATTAGAGATCGCGCAAGCCATCAGCAGCAAAGAAAGAGTTATGGTGCTGCACTGGTCGCATACGAAGCAGCGATAAAGGAAGGACTAACCTATGTCTGTAACTGCTGTGGCAGACTGCG